AGATGCCCCCTGGTGCCGGCTGGCAAAACCTCAGCAAAGCCCGGTGAGACCTCCAGGTACAAGAATGTCTTGCAGAATGGGAGAGGCGAAGCGTATTAAAACACAAAGTAAAATGTTAGCTTTTTGGTTTGTTTTGTTCATGAATTTCACGTTCCAGATATTTAACCACAAGGAAACAGAGGCTGAGGCCTTTGGTACAGAGATGCCCCCTGGTGCCGGCTGGCAAAACCTCAGCAAAGCCCGGTGAGACCTCCAGGTACAAGAATGTCTTGCAGAATGGGAGAGGCGAAGCGTATTAAAACACAAAGTAAAATGTTAGCTTTTTGGTTTGTTTTGTTCATGAATTTCACGTTCCAGATATTTAACCACAAGGAAACAGAGGCTGAGGCCTTTGGTACAGAGTTTGGCTTCAAAGAGATTACATTTTGCCTTCCGTGCTAAATCTGCTACTCTTGGGCGATGGTTTAACTCCTCATACGATGTGATTCATCCTCAGGAAAAACAAGTACTGGGGTGACTGTGCTGTATAACATGAAAAAAAAAATAAATAGTTGGGGCTGAGAAAGGAGCCTGTTTGCCAAACGGAAGGTCCGCTCCCGGGGTGGGATGCTGTTAAGGGCAGCCCTGGGCACGTGGAAGGGGCAAAGTCTGCTTTGCACAGAGTGTTTGTCATTCAGTCGATGGTGGAAGGAGTTTGAAGTGCTGAGAGCTGCTCCGGCGTCTGCGGGGTTTGGCATCCTCCAGCAACCTCGTCAGACCCGTTCGTTAGTGCCTGACAGAGCAGATACGGTAAAGCACCAGACGGGCCTGACGGAGCGCAGAGCAGCACCTCGCAGCGCCTGCGTCTGTGATAGAACCTTTGCTCATCCTTTTGCCTGCCCAAAATTTATGGAAAGAGCCCCAAAACCGCTCCTGAAGTGCCCAGTCCTCAGCCGGGGCTCAGCACCTGGGCACGGGTGGGTGCAGAAGTGGCAGAGTTGAGCCCTGCGCGGGAGGCGGTGGGCAGCAGGGGTTCCGTGCCAGGGGTGCTCTTGCTGGGGATCCTCGTGCCGGGGATGCTTGTGCTGGAGATGCTGGTGCTGGGGATGCTCGTGCCAGGGATGCTTGTGCCAGGGATGCGCAGGAAAGCAGCTTTTCCTCCACGAGCTGACGGGCAGGAGCTGGGTAGAAACGGGCTTCATTCTTGCCGAGTGCTTCGGGAGGAGGAGCTGCAATCGCTCTCCCTGTAATTAGCTGGGATGACAGTCGGATAAATGCTTCCCAGAGTCCAGTCGAGTGAGTTTTGCTCACAGCAGCCTGGCAGCAAACAGCAGCTGGGAGCCTGCGAACCGTGTCGCTCCAAAAAAAGGGGGCAGTGCCCCGGCAGCCCCTCCGCCACCATCCCATGCCTTTTTTCCAAGCCACCCTCCCATCTCCAGGTGACACGGGCTGTAACCGTTCATTCCCAACCGTCAGGGATTGATTTTGCAGTTGCCTTAACTTGCACGTCGGGATCACTTCGGCTGACGCCGCGAGTGCCCGGCTCCTTTCCTATCCCGATATCTCAGCCTCCGCAGTAACGCGTGTCGCTTCTGGATTAGCTCCGAGTGTTTTCTCGGCCCCGGGGCAGCTGCGTTCCAACTTCAAAGGTTCTTTCGGTAGCACTTGGCTGTTTGTTGGCGTGTTTATACCCACCGACATCTAAGGGGTGGGAGAGGGCTTCTGCCTGGCAGGGTGTAAACAGAGCCCCGCCGCCTCGCCTGCCTTTCCTACAGACAGATCCTGCAGATTTCGGTCAAGCCGAGACACAGCAGCTTCTGGAGCAGCAGGAACAGAAACTTTCCTCCTCCAAAGCGCAGCTCGAGGGCCTGACAGCTGCACCACTGTCGTTATTCCTCGGTTCAGGGCAGAAACGGTCTTTAGCCCTGAAAAATCCCTGGCGTCCAGGAGCTCGGTCCTTTGCAGGGCAGCGGGGTGGCACCACACAATGATAACAGGCTTTTGGGGGGTTTTTTGGCTTATTAAAGCTGAAAATAGCTGGTGCTGGTCTTAGGCACAGCTCTGTGCAGCTTGTCCAGAGCATCTGCAGGGGTTTAAGCACCCTGGCGTGTCCTCCGCGGGCATCTCGGTTTCCACGCGTGGTTGGAGGCCGGGAGCATCTTTTGGCAGGTTTGCAGAACAAGCCAAGGTATTTTTGAGCTATCGCCATGGGAAAACGAGGAGGGGGGGGTTCCCTTGCTGGGAACAAGGAGGAACTCCCTGAATAGTTATTGTATTATCTCAAAAATAATTTCCAGCTCCAGGTCTGGTACATGCCCGCTCTCCAGTATGAAACAACTTTCAAAAGAAATGCAGGACCAGGTTCTAGCGTGTTTAAAAATGATGGGCATCCCTTTGGGGATGTGCTGGGGAAACTAGAGCATTTCTGAAGCAGAGTAGGTGCTTCATCTCCGGATACCGGGACGTTCCTGTCCTAAGGTGTCCTCCCAAGAGGGAGACTCTGAGCAGGCTTTAGTTTTTTGGTCAAACCGTGCTCTTTTAAGCGACTTTTTCTCTACAATAGCAACATCTCCTAATTTTTCAGCACACCTCTACTCTTTGCATTTTAATGGGATGCTGAACTCAAAGCTGCCGTGTTCCTCAACACCGGGGACAGAGGGGGGGGCAGAGTTGGATCCAACCTTTGCAGGGAGGCCCAGTGTCTCCCGAAATAAAGTCCAAGTCCTTCACCACCCCTCGAGCCCAAGGGACAGCCCAAGCATCCCACCAGGCAGAGCTCCTGGGCTGTTGGTGCTCTCAGTCCCCTTAGCCAAGGATATCTTTAGGAAACACCACGTAGCTGTGGATACTTTATAGACTCTTTCTTCCCGATCCCAGGCAGAGCCAGTCTGTCTATCCGCTCCCGTCATGTGGATTTAGACAGCCGTATTCGTCAGCGCTTTCTGCTGGGGCTTCTTTCTCCAGGTGAGTACGAGCTGTGTGAGACAGGGCAGCAGCTCGGCTGGTCTCGCAGCTTGCAGTCTGTGCAGCAGGAGCTTGCAGCAGACCACGGCCACGCACCTTCCCCGGGCTGCCTGGTCCGAAGGGCGGTCAGGGGAATAGCGACTGGCCCGGGAGGATGCGGCACGACGGGGTTTTAATCAGCAGAAGTCAAAACAAAGCCAGAAAACTCTGCCTTCAGCTCAGCATTGGGAAAAGGAGTTGAAATCCATGGCTCAGGGTTTTGCTCCTTGTCATTAACCCTAATCCTGAATACATCCCTGCGGCCACCACTGCTGAGTTTCGCTCTGCAGAGACCGATCTGGTTTACTCAGTCTCAGCCTTAGAAGCAGGACGGGCAGCGGGCAGCTCCGTGCTGTCCGTCCATCGGCACAGCTCAGCCCTAAGTGCGTAACACAGCCTCGGACCACTCATACTGCAAGCTTATGGTCAAATTTTGCCCTCTGTAAATGTACCATGACCCCAGTGATGTCCCAGTGAGCAAAATACATCCCCTGCAGGTGGAAATGGCAGTGCCCGGCCCCTCTGGGCATGCTGGTGGGCAAAGCCCCCATGGCTGCAGCGAGGACGGCGGCACTGCAGGGATGTGCACGCTGCGTGTGCTCATGCACCAGCTTTCGCTTCTGCTTCGTGTTGTCCTGAAGAGCTGTTAGTGAAGGTTTCCAACAGGAAAACCATGCAACCCTCGATCCATGCAGCCCTCGATCCATGCAACCCTCGATCCATGCAACCCTCGATCCATGCAGCCCTCGATCCATGCAACCCTTGATCCATGCAGCCCTCGATCCATGCAACCCTTGATCCATGCAGCCCTCGATCCATGCAGCCCTCGATCCATGCAACCCTTGATCCATGCAACACTCGATCCATGCAGCCCTCAACCAGTGCAGACCATTAGCTCCGCAGCGGAGGCTGGGGTACTGCCACCCCTCCTTGCTTGCCAAGGCATCGCTTTGCCAGCCTTCGAAGGCGAAGGCAAGAGAGGAGCTAACGGTTCCGTTCCCTTTGGAGGCCCGGCAGCCTCCCCGAGCCTGGTGTAGGAGCTCTCGCTCGCAGGATTTTGGGGTGGATTTTGCAGCGCTGCTGCAGCCGAGAACGTACACCTGGTCAGATAAGGATCAGACCGTGCTGGCGGATTAAATTAAACAGCTTTTCTTTTCGTGCCAGCATATCTAATGAACAGTTCATCTCCCATAGGCAATTCTGCCATCTCGAGCTACAGCCATAAAGTGGCAAGCTTGGCAAAGCTGACTGCGTTGGCTTTGCCCTCTGAAATTCTCCGGAGAGCTAATGAAGCCTGAGAGCGGGCGAGACCTCTCGTGATCTCAGCGCCGTGTCGGCGGCGAGCATTGCGTAGGCAACGTGCACCTCCTAGAGATGCAGTTTGGTTCATGTTCAGGCTTATGCTACTTCTGTTAAAAGAAAGGTGCGGGGTGGTCCTCACCTCTCCCATCCAAACCCTGCCTTGGGTCTGTTGTTCCTTCCTCCAGTGCTCATAAGATATTGCAACAGCAGAGATCTGAGCAGCTGAAACCACTGGCTGACAGCGCCCTTGCTCTCGGCCAGGCTG